AAGTATCAAGATGGCGTATGTCAACAAMAAAAACACACTTACACGGAACRACAACATAGTGATTCTGTTTTGAGAAAGGGGTAGCCACAAAAATGAGGAYAACAACTAYGCTGMTACAATTAAAAATATTGGTATACCTTCTCCACGACATCATTGAAGCTGTCGATGTACAAAGCCAGTAAATGCAACACATTTCGTTTATTTTCATCAATGGCCCGGATGCTCGAATCCTTCTTTTGCTTTCTTAATAACGTCCATGCGAGGTCCAACTTCTCGGCATCTADAACAGCCTTATATGCGAAAAATATGCAGAGGATAAGCAAACAATAAGATTCTGGATGGTATAAATTATGGATTTTAAGTACACTACAATGTTTTGAGTATACTACAGATCCTCACTGAATTTATTCAACAGAACTTCAATCCAGGTAGTCATAGTAAAAACAAGACAAAACAACATACAAACAAACAACATGAGAGATTACAGATAAAGATCGTGCTTCTTCTGCGTAAATAAGGTTATTTTTATCATTAACCGAGCTGTGAAAGAAATTTAAAACTTTCACAGAAATTCAACGAAAAAGAACGAAATTCGAAACTAGAGAGAAATTCTAAACTTGCGAGAAATTCTAAACTTGAGAGTTGTCAAATACTCTGACAAATTAATGCATAGCATTGCATTATACTTATATCCACATAACAATAGATTAACAATACAATACATTTAAGAACGACGCAACAAAATAGAATACAATACAATGCATGTACATACATAACTTTATTCGAGTATTGGACGAGTTTAAGTAACATAGCTCACAGACACAAACAACTAAACAAAAAAAATAACAAGCCAAAGGTACTTTACAGTCAACTTAAATACCTTCATTGCAATTATAAAGTCAAGGCCAGCGACATCCAACATTAGGTAAGCCACGCCCTGCCAGTTTTGCTTAACCACTTCATAGAACGCTGACTTGATGATGGGTGTAGGAACCTGGAGTTTTGTGAGCTCTTTCCAAAGCCACAATTCCTTTTCTTTCCTGTAATCAAGACCAGAAAGAACTGTAAGAACTAAACTGACTTTTTAAATAACAATTGGCTTTTCGAAAATTAATAACAAAACAAGCTTGATCGTTCAGCTTGGTTGGGTAACTTCCGGCTAGCTAGCTTTAATTTCTTTTTTTTTTTAATTTTAATTTGCGAGAAAAAAAAATCACAAAAATTAGGAAAACAAAAGGATTTTGGCCTATAACACAATAAAAGTTCTGCAAAATACTGTCAAAGGTGTGTTTAACTTACTTTTTTTCGTAATCATCAAGCTGACTTTGTGTGACAGGTGTGATTACGTTACACTTCGGACTCGCGCCTTGCTGAATCAGTGACATGGCACAACTACACGTAGAAACAAGAAATATCATTTGTTAACAATCAGTCTCGAATAATTTGAATGGAACCATTTAAATTGTCATTAATAATTAACATTGAAAAGTACAAACATTAAAGTTCCATCATCAACCATGATCCTCTGCGGACCTTTATTTCTATTTATTTTTTTATTTGTTTGACAATTCAAAATATCGCAAAAATTATTGCATCTTCGGAAATCCAGGTGTTATCTTCTTTCAATTGGGTTTTTTCTCTGGAAACAAGGAAAGAGTAACAGAAGATTGCCCCTTGGTTTCCGAGATGGGACTATTGTCTTCACAAACCTATCATGCCCTCCTCGGATCGCCAATGAAAAGGGCGTATTGTCGTTGTTGTCTTTAACGTTGATCTCAGCGCCTTTCTGTAATTAAAATGGGAACGTATCATCAAAATCTGATGACTTAAGATATGAAATCGTGGAGTAACTTTGGCTAGTTTTTCGAGTGTTAAGTATACTAATAGCGTTAATGAAGAAGTTACGGATATGAGCAGGGAGAGAGGATTTCAGCGGATACGGATACACATACGTCCACCCAGTTTACGCAAAGCAGATGTGCTTACGTTTCCGTCTAGGCTTACTTCACCGGTAGAAATCCTATCAAATTAGGTGTAARACGCGAGAATTACGAGATACAAAAAACGTCAACTTGTCGCGCAATACTGTTTCTGTTCAAGTTTAGCATCAATGTTCTCGTTTTTCATGGCCTGTGTTTGATTGTGCGTCGAATTACCGGTGCTTAGGTGAGGTGAAAAAATAGAAACATTGATTCCAGCTTTTTTATCTCGTATTTCACGGCCTTAATAGTGCCAAGAACCAGAATACCTTGACAAGATGCATGACGCATAGTGTAGCTCCACGGATAGCTGCCCTGTGTAACGGTGTCTGACCATTGATGTCAGCATGATTAATCACAGTTTTGATATCTTGCGACTGGTCTTCCATGGCGTCTACCAGTAAACTTGAAATAGACACAGGGTCTGATAGACTATTAGCGTCGGCATCACTGTGAGAATATTCAAAAGTATTAAAATAATGAAKACATTAATCATATATAGAGCGCAGTCGAGGAGTGAAAAAAAACGCTAACCAAATAGTGCTAAAAAGTGCTAAATTGCAATAAAGTGTAGATTGGACAATAGAAAACAATGAAATTCGGATAATTCAGTACATTTTGGCACTATTTAGGTACTTTTATTTATTTTTTCCTTGTAATTTAATCCGTCGGTGAACCAGTTACCAGTCAGTGTTTAATAGTAGCTATTACGGTGTAGTTGGCTACTAGCAAAAGTCAAAATCAAAATCGTTTTTGCCTAATTAGTTTGTCGCATGTCATAAGTTAAACTATTGGGAGCTAATAGGGGGTAATAGTATTTAATAGTACTATTCCTATTTCACAGACGGATGAAAATGACTCTAACTTATGACATGCGACAAACTAATTAGTCAAACACTGTTTTGATTTTCCCTTTTGGTAGCCTACTAGATAGTTACTATTAATATAAACATTTGACTTGTAGTAATTGTTTCACAGACGGATGAAAATTACAAATTCAGTACAATTTCGCATTATTCATTTACTAAAGTAATAACTGTCCCCATACCAGCCCATCTTTAACTTCTTTACAAAAGCATAGTGTAATGGAAGTCTTCCAATGTCATCTTTCTTTTGAGTGTCAGCACCATTCTTCAATAAAAGATCTTCCACGTCTAACAATGTCTCAAATCCCCCTGTAGTAGCATTCACAGCATAGTGCAGAACAGAGCGATCTTTATRGTCAGCRGAGTTTACATCGGMRCCCGCTTCRAGCAAAGCACGTGCGAGCTTGAGAGATGATTCGTCGCTGTCTAGAAATATAAACAAAAACGATAATGAAATTATTACAATATTAGCATATCATTTCAATACGAAATTTAGTATCTCAACAAGAGAAAAACAACTAAAYATACCGGGCTTGTTGGTAACAGCATGGGACAATGCACTGCGTCCTTGCTTGTCAAGAAGGTTAGGATTTGCCTTCCCCTTTAGCAAACATGTTGCAATTTCCAGTTCCAGTGTTGGTCTGAAAACCAAATGAAAGAGAATGTCATCAAGTGTGATTGACTGGTGATTGACTTATTGATTGACTGACTGATTGATTGACTAACTGATTAATTAATTGATTGATTGATTGATTGATTGATTGATTGATTTATAGATTGATTGACTGATTGCTTGATTGATTGATCGACATGTGAACTTAACATACTTTGACAATAGAACATACTTGCAAGCTAAAATAAGGGCAGTAGAGAAGTGCTGATTTTCCTCGGGTTCGTCTTTTTCTTCCGTGAAAAGATTGACATCGGCACCACATTTTACCTGAGGAAAAAAAAGCGTTAAATCAATTACACCTGTTAAATAAAAGTTAAGCACGTTTCACTAACCAGTTCTTCAACACAGCTGGTATTCCTACAAACAACTGCATAGTGAAGAGGGGTGCGGCCCAACAGATCACGTGAGTTGATTAAGTCACTATTTCCATGGAGATATTTCAGGAGGAGTTGCAGCGTTAGTGGGTCTGTTGCTGGGGACCGAGGATTAACGATGAAGTGAAGGCACGAGAACTTGCCTGAAACAATTGTAAAATATTGAGAGCTGTTTGTCAATATTCATTATGACTTTCATTTGTYAATTCATTTGTTTATTCAACATCCATTTATCTATCCATCCAATATTTTTTTCATTCATTCATTATTCGTTTATTTTCTTTACCATAGTGTCCCTCATCTGTCCACCTATCCGTTTAATTATTTATCCTTTTTCGTTTATTATCATTCCTACAATTTAACCATYCATCCATTCACTCTTCTCAAACCTACAACATTACTCCATCAACTTACCTGTGCATACAAATTCGTCATTTTCCTTTTGATTGCCTGATAATCCAAGATTATTTACATTAGCTCGTCTAACCTGCAAATTAATTCACATCCATTAAATCCAAGGTCTTTGTTTCTCGATAAACGTATAAAAGAAATAAATAAAGAAATATCAATGAAATAATAAACTTCTTGTTCTCACCTTCTCTCCCTTTTTGAATTTACCGACACGTGTTGTGACGTCACATCCAAATTCTTCAATGAGCACCTGCGAAACAAAACGTTATCAAACTAAAAGCATTTCAGATTTGAAATGAAGAATTGAAGGAGCAACCTCATCCCCAGGGTTTCTTGGCTATCCCGCATTTTGAAAAAAAAAACGAGTAGAGAAGGTCCTGGGAGCGAGGTTGTGGAAGGAAAAAGCAATTTGTGCAGCGACAGGCAGCGACGCCATTTTATAGAATACAGCATGATAGGAGATGTAGTTCTCGTACGTTCAGATGCCATCTGGAATAATTTGTTATTGCGTTTTTTTTGTTTTTTTTTCGCAGACACGGAACCCGCGACCCCTTAGCGAGGAAATGTATCTCCTTAAGTGCAAGGACTGTATCTGACGTACTGATTTTGTCCTATAAGTTAACGGCGTCGATGCACAATGTGCAACATAGATCATATTATTAAAGCTAACAAAACAAGTCCAACTACTACAAAAACTGTGCGTTTGATGCACATTAACAAAACACAAACCTTAAMATAATCTCTCCAAATTTCTTCACGTTCTTCGGTCTGCAAAATAATACACAATTCGTCGATATAACATCTTCTCCTTTCCCCTCCAATGTTAGTCCTTTTTGGTAAATATCTACMCATTCTCCCATCTTCTAAATCTCTCCTTACCTTGTTGTGGTCGCTTGCATAGTTTTCACAAGCAAATAGCAATGGAGTGAAGCCATTATTATCGACTGTACTGGCTAACTTCTTGCGGGCTGGTCCGTCCATCTATGACACATAACAAATTCAAACGTTATTGCYTTACTCCTCCACGACCAAKGGAGGGACAGGAAGCCCAAMAATAGAGACAAATCACAACAAGGCACATACTTACCAACTTTGCCATTTTGGATGCCAGGCGGCCACGAGAAGCGCGGTCTATAGTGTTTAAAAAATGAAGAAGATTACGACCAGTGTCTTCGAGACCTAGCGACGGGTCGGCGTTGTTATCGAGTAGAACTTCAAACATCTCTAGGTGAGACTGTTGGGAACAAACAGAAACGTTTCTTAGTGTTAAAAGGACTATATTTTCCCATCATGCTTTTGTTCTGGAAAATGACGTCACTGCACATTGATTGGTTAGCCAATTGGTTGTTTTGACTAAATAAGGTGTACTTACTGCATGGCACGCGACCATCAGTGGTGTGAGTCCATTATTATCTGTGGCGCTGATCTCAGCACCAGAGTCAATAAACAGCTTTAGMATGTCCGTATTGGTCTTCTGAACAAGCTTTGCTAGAAAGTCTTTACGCTGCTTGATTTGTTCTTTGACAGTACCGGACAGTTCAGGCTGAAAAGAAATTTTATTGCAGTTTCATTGATATCTTTTGAGCCGTTAACACACATCTAGAGTAAATATTTGGCATACTGAGACTGAGCATTACACGCATTGCACAACACAAATGAGTGAATGGGAAAAGAAGTGAAGGAAAAATGGATGGTAAAATGAAAAAAACGGAGAATTTTGCAACTCAATTTTGTCTTCAATTTTCTTCATGCATTGGCATTGAATAAATGCCAATGTATAATTTTCAGCACAGGCAGCCTAACCTACCTCTTTTTCATCAGGGTACATTTCTCTTAAATCACAGGTGTTTTGTTTATGGGCCTGCAGATGTATCACCTGTCGACCCTGCTTGTTCTTGCCAACGTTAGGCTTAGCACCAAGACAAATTAGTTTACGTATAAGTGGATAGTTATACTGAAAGATAGCAAAAACAATTAGTGTTTTATGTATTTTATGTAGAGATAAATGGTGTATGCAGTTCGGCAGTTTGTTTAATGAGGCATGAAGCTTGAGGCATAATATAACGATTGAGAACATGCAATTATACAATCCAAATCCTCCCTGCCCACCTGCATAATTGCCAGCATCATGGGTGTTTGCCCTTGTTCGTCCA